TATTAAGACATTCAATATTCCCCTGGCAATAGCTCCTGGGAATTTCCCAGGAGCCTCTGTGGTAACTAGATAGCCTCTGCCAGCCCCAGGATGAGGAAGAAAACCCCCAGACGAGAACAGGATGGCATGGAATTGGCTTTACAATGCCACTGGCTGGGCTGGGCCAGAGGGCAGAGAGACCTGCCACTTTGGATGCTGGGTCCTATGGCCGGAAATATAGATCCACAGGATCCAGGAGCCTCTTGACCTCCTGGCTTTTCTATCTGTTTTTCTTGTGAGGGCTTTCAGACTTATCTATAGAACAGGAATTTGTGGGCTCAGAAGGCCTATGAGTAAGGTCAGCAACAGGCCCCATAGACAGTGTTGATGATGGCTGGCTGATTCCATTTCCCAAAAGTGCGTATCTGCCGAAGGCCCACTGTTGAACCGTTTCTAATTTCTGTCTCATCTAACATTAAATAACGCTCTCTGTGTCCCCATTGCCTGCCCCCTGCCCTGCCTTCCATTCTCTGCCCCTGGCAGCTCTTGGGACTCCTGCTTTCTATATGCCTGAGGATGAGGGACCTGAAAAGCTTTTCCCACCTCCAGTGGCACCCTCAAAGTGTGAAGAGCAGACGTCAGTCACTGCAGAGCTGTGGCGAGGGACCTGGATTCCACAGTACACATTCAGCCCCTGATGGCCCTGGTATAGCAGGTGGCAGTAGGAGTGAGAGGACAAGTGTAATTGACCATAGATGTCTAGGCCAGGCCAAGCAAGAGGGTGGTTTGGGCTGATCTAGGGACACCACAGAGTCTGGGTAGGCAGAGAACCAGTCCCACCATCCCTCCAGGTCTCAGGCTATCACTCCAAGAGGATCCCCTGGACAACAGTGGGAAGTCAAGGAGCAGGAGCATCCCCAGATGAGCTGCAGGTCATGGGAAAGAGGACCACACTTCCTACTGGCTACAGAGGCAGGTGTGTGTTTGTTGGTTGGAGGGAGTGACACTTGCTGGGGAGGGGAAGCAACTGCCCATTTGCTCCATCGTCCTTCCCCAGTTCTACTTTCCATCACAGGGAACCACATCCCTCAAGACTTATGGCTTCCAGGTGGGGTTGGCACCTGCAAAAGATAGGAAATAAGAGAAAAGAACAGAGAGGAATCCATATTCTGCTCACCATGGTACTGCTCCAGCAGCTGTGTCCTGACTTGTGAGTACCCTCTTTCTGGGGCACTTTCCCAACAGTCCCAGCCTCTGAGATCTGGGGACACCCCTTTCTTCTGTAGTCCTCCTTGCCTTGGGCAAGGCAGTGCATCCTATTATCACTAATCTCTAGGTGCGCCCTCCAATCAGCACTTCCACCACCTGTCATCACCCTGAAGTTTTTTCAAGAGTCTAGAACAGCACTTTCCCCTATGTAATGTGGGAATTGGACCACCTGAATTGGTAGATCTGGGGAGTCTGCATTTCCAACAAGCTCCAGGTGACACTGAAGTGACCAGTCCTTGGATGACACTTTGAGATGTAAGGACCAAGGAGGTTTTGATTTTCTAGATACAACAGTCACTCTGCTAGGCAGTGTGTACTGCCTAGGTCACAAAAGTTTACAAAACAGACCTGTCTGCAGTTAAAGAAGAGAGACTGACATACTTGCAGATGACATGGATGATAGTGCTCTAAAAGACAGGGAGGAGTATGTGAACAGCCTGGGTCCCCAGGACACCTTCCTCCAGGACCTGAATGAGGCATGTTTGAACTGAGACCTAGAACATGGATGGGTCAGATTTTTATTTCCCACTGTGACCACAAGACCTGACAAGAGCAATTTTAGAGGAAGAAAAGTTATTTAGGGCTCATGGTTTCTTAGGTCTCAATCCACAGATAACTGGCTCCATTGCTTTGGGTCCAAGATTGAGGCAGAACATCATGGGGGACGACTATGGTGAAAGAAGGCAGCTGACCTCAAGAAGGACAAAATAAGCCCCAAAGGTACACCTCAGCAACCTACCTCCAGCCATACCCTACCTGTCTGTGGTCATCAGCCAGTTAATCCATTCAAGCAGATTAATGCACTGATTAGGTTAAGGCTCTTCTAGCCCAATCATTGTATCTCTAAATTTTCTTGCATTGTACCACACATGAGCTTTGCAGGGACACTTCACATCTAAACCATAACAGTAAGGTTTTGGGAGCAGCATGTGAGCAGCAGCTAGGTGACCAGAGGGACAGTGTGCTTTACTTGGCCAAGAGGAGGCCAGCCTGGTTGCCAGGCACCACAGTAAGCAGATTCAATGGCTGCCCCTGACCTGCACTCCCCATGTGATCAGGCCCCCCCCTCCCCCACAGCTTGCATCCATCTTCCAGTAATGTCCCCAGGTACTGGCAGCTGATGCTTTCAGGCACCTCCCTGCCCAGCTGGCAGACACACCCAGTCTGCCTGACGCCTGAGCTTGGCTGTTGAGTCCCCCCAGACAAAACTATTCTGGAGCATCATTAGAAAAGGCAATAGTAAGAGGCAGGTCCTTGCATCTGTACACAGCCCTGTGGTGTGACAGCAGCCTAGCCACTCACATAGTCACTGAGAGAGGGACAACATGCTACTTTTTGCCATCTATTATGCTTTTAACTTCCCAATAAAACTTACTTTTTTTTTTTTTCTTGAGATGGGATCTCGCTACATTACCCAAGCTGGTCTTGAACTCATGAGCTCAAAGGATCCTCCTATGTCAACCTCCTATGTAGCTGGGACTACAGATGCATGCCACCAGGCCCAGTTGAAACCCACTTCTTATCCCGTTATAAGATAATGTTGTTGGGGCTGGGGATGTGGCTCAAGCGGTAGCGCGCTCGCCTGGCATGCGTGCTGCTGGGTTCGATCCTCAGCACCACATACCAACAAAGATGTTGTGTCCGCCAAGAACTAAAAAATAAATATTAAAAATTCTCTCTCTCTCTCTCTCTCTCTCTCTCTCCCCTCTCTCACTCTCTCTTTAAAAAAAATTAAGATAATGTTGTAGAACTTTCCTATATCCCCTTCATTTCATTAGCTCTAATTCAGAAATCATCAAAGGGTTAAGCCTAGGTTCATCTGATTGGAATTGATTTTTCTAATACTTTTAGGGCTATGGCATGAGGAGTGCGATGTAAGAAGAAGTACAAGAGAAAAGTGGGGAGCCAGGAAGGCCAGGGGTCTCTGGGGCTAGAAAGCACCAGGAACCAGCAGCTGGCATTGAGCATGGAGATCAGCCTGCCCTGTGGGACTGGTCCAGGGAGAGGGGGAGCAGGTTACCTCTGGAGGAGTGGACTGTAGCTAGGGTGGGAACTGTGAGGGCTTGAGGACCTCTCCCGATTTTACCTGTGCTGAGATTCTTAAATGGCACAGGCCCATGGAACTGTCAACAGGGCAGCCAGGAGGGACTGGGTCTCACACTGAGCCAAGTATAAGGAGAGTTCCAAGAGGCAGCATGGAGAAAAGAGGTGCTCAGGGGAAGGGAGCATAGCGGTGTTCCTGGGAGAGTAGGAGCTGCCTAGTCCAAGGAGGGCTGTAGAAGGCCAGTGGTCCCCCACCTCAGGCCATGGTTTATAGTCAGGACAGCCTGGGCAGTGGTGGCCACAGGGGACTATTGGAGATGGAGACTGCTTTCCTGGCTGAGTTAGATAGCAGGCTCTGGGCAGGAGATCTGCTGGAAGGGTGTAGGGTGCAGAGGGTCATGGGAGGGGACTTTCCCTAAAGGGATAGGAGGTATGAGGGGACCTGGGTTTTGCCTGTGAGAGCTGCTGTGCATCCATTATGGAGAAAGGTCACTATCAAAGGAACTGTGGGCTTCTGAAGGCCCATGTGTGGGGCATTCAATTCAATTGAAGTGTTACTTTGAGGCCTCTGGTGCCTCCGGGTATGTGGACTCCTTCCTCACTCATCTACAGGACAAACATATTTTCCCTGTATCACCCCTCAAACCCCTGTGCCAGCTACATCACCAGCATTCTTTCTTAATTTGCAGTATATAAACAGGACTTTGTGGAACTTTGTGTCTACTCAGAATTTGCTCCCAGCTGAGAGGAGTTGTTAAATCCACATTCAAAAGCATGGCATGTCCACTTAGAGCTTAAAGACAGAAAGCAAAGCCAGTCTTCAGCCTTATCCACCACTCAGGGGAGCTTCTCTGAGCTTGAAATGGAAAGGCCTGAGGAGCAAATTCATCTGAGCTGCTGGTTAGGGAGCTGAGTGAGGGTGTTCCACCCTCTAGCCCAAATCTTAGGCTCTAGAACAACTGTTTGTAAATATGGGGGGACTCCCAGAAGAGGAGTTGATATAGCTTTCCATTCCAGTGGCCCACGAATCTCACTGTACCTCAGGACCCAGTCCCCAAGTAGAATGTACCTGGAAGCCCAGCAGACCATGCCCCGTCAGCCTCTCTGCAACACGGGCTGAGCAGGCTGCCCTGGAGACAGTGTGCTCAGATTATAGGAGAGGGGCCCATCACTTCCAGCGCCTGCTGCCTCCTCCAAGGGGGCGAAGAGCAGGCTGGGATACCCATCACCACCTCTGACAGGCAGTAGACTAGGCTTGTAGGCCTGGGTGAATTCTCTGGTTTCTTTTATCTAATTTTGTGTGTTTATTTTTACTTTTATACTTCAATTAAAATATTTATAGATATATTAAAAAAAAAACTACAAACATAAAATGTCTCATGATCTGCTCTCACCCTGACCATACTAATCTCATCTCATCCTCAGTTTCTTTGTCTGTGGATGGGGTAAGCAGTCTTGGCTTTGTGCATGGTGGTTGTGAAGATGTCATGGGCCAGATTTTGGGATAAGGCCACATCACCTTCACCGTCCCACAGACAACCATGGGGTTCCTGGGATGGCAGAGGCTGTTCTGGTTTTTTTTTTTTTTTTAGTTATAGGTGGACACAATATCTTTATTTTATTTGTATGTGGTGCTGAGGTTTGAACCCAGTGCCTCATGCATGCTAGGTGAGCGCTCTACCTCTGAACCACAACCCCAGCCCCAGAGGCTATTCTTGATGAGCTCAGGGAAGAAAGAAAGCAGGACATATTTAGAGGGGAAGACAAAATCTTGTGCCAGTGTCCCAGAGCAGAGCTTAGCAATGTCCCCTGAAGCATGTACGCAATCACACATATCCTTTCTCTCAGGCATACACATATTCATTTCTGCCATCATCAGACCCTGGTGGATAGACACCCAGGGACCTGCATCTGAAAGAGCCAGAAGCAAGCAGCAACTGAGCATGTGCAGCCCCCAGCACTGCTACTTAAAATGGGGAGGGACCCTGGGGCTGTGAGTGGCTGTATCTGTGATACTCATTTCTTTGCACTTCGCTGGACACTGAGCAGCCCCCAGAGCAGCTCTGGCTGTGCCTGCACTGAATGCGGGAGGAGCCAGCAGGTGGAACGCACAGCAGTGCCAAGGATGGAGGAAAGCTAGGAGGCTGGGCACCACTAAAGTTCTAGCTCCCTATGCCCTTGACTTCTCTGTGAGATCAAACAAGGACCTCAGGATGAACACTACTTCAGGTTCAGACTCACCAGGCCCAGCCCAGGAGCCCACTTTGGGGGCCACCTCAGCTCCACCCAGCATGTGGGACAGCACCCAGAGCAGTGTCTCCAGCCTGGCCCAGCTTCTACCTGCCAGCCCTACGGTAAGCCCGAGGAGCTTGTGCATGCACAGAGCCTTCCCTCCCCACTTTCTACAACTCCTCAAGTGTTTTGACAGCGAGATAGGAAAGGTCTGAGTTCTGCTGTGGGACTTTGGTCATGTCACCAGACCTCTCTGAGCTTGTCCTACACAAATTGGCTGAGAGGAGGGTACAATGTTCTCTCCTGCAGAGAGCATTAAAGAAACACAAAGGGGCTGGGGTTGTGGCTCAGTGGTAGAATGCCTGCCTACCTTGCGTGAGGCACTGGGTTTGATTCTCAGCACTGATTATAAGTAAATAAAATAAAGGTTAATTGACAACTAAAAAGAAAAAGAAACACAAAGGCCCACCCTGACCTGTGTGGCTTGTATCTACTTCTTCCAGAAGTTGGCCTGTGGAGCCTTTCAGAGAGAAAGGCATATCCCTGGCCTCAGGATTTGTTCAGGCTACAGTGGAATGTTGGGCAGGAGAGAGAGCAGACCAAATTCCTTCCTGGAAAGGGAATGGATAGGAGAGGTTTTTAAATTCTTTGTACTAAATTCAGAGGGTAATGACCTCCCTGCTGTGACTCTGGGAGACCCACTCCATCTTTGCAAAGGAAGTTCCTTCCCCTTCTCTCTTGCCAGGGATCAAGATCAGCCCTACCCAGCTATGGTATGAGGGAATGCAACTTCTCCTTTGAACCTTGATAGTGGTGCCCTTCATCTGGGAGGGACAACCTAGGAGATGGCTCTGCCTTCTTAAGGTCATCCAAGTCATATCCCTGATTATCCGGCACCTGTCTGTCTGTCCAGTCTCCAACAAGTTGCCTAAGCCCACACATAGAAGCCTCACACCTGTGGGTTCAGGTTTAGGAAGAACCGCATTTCCATTCCAATTTTGGCCACTAGCTGGCTGTGTGGACAAGTGGCTTTGCCATTCTGTACCTCAATTTTTCCACCTGCCCTTCTGGGAACCCTCTTCCTTTTCAGAGACATTTGAAGGTGATGGGAGATAATGTGTGACCTTCATTTCTCTGTCTCTTCATAGGCAACTGGGGCTCAGTCTGCTGCCCGGATCCCCTTCCCCACAGTTGATGTTCCAGATCATGCTCACTATACCCTGGGCACGGTGATCCTGCTGGTGGGGCTCACGGGGCTGATGGGCAATCTGACAGTCATCTATACGTTCTGCAGGTACCTGATTGGTGGAACTGGATCCAGGGCAAGAAGGGTGACCAGAACACAAGGACCAGAACATTGCCCAGCTCTGCCCAGGGTGCTGTTGAGGCTAGCTGGGGGGCCACGGCCAAGCCTTCAATGATCTCAGGTTTCAGGCTTCAATCTTTAAGCTCAGAAAAGGGGGAAAATTAGTCCAAGTAAACTTGAACGGCATATGTCAATTGGGCCCCAGGAATGTCATCTGTTACCCCTAGAATATTGGGTGTCTGACCACTCTGCCCTGCTTTCAGATCACCTCTGCCATCCTGCCCCAGGGGACATCCTCAAGAGCAGCCTTGGGCACAGGATGCTGAGTCTTCAAGCCACTTGGCAACCATCGTAGGCTTCTCTCAACCTGTCCTGCTGGCAGGCCAGTGGAGAAGTGAGCACAAATAGTCAGTCCCTGACTCCCCACCAACTAATAAAAGGACAGAGAAAGCCATTTATCCCCTTTTACCTCATTTTTATTATTATCTGTGAAATGGAGTTGTGACTTCCTCCATGGTGTCCAATGAAGATGAAGTAGGTTTGTGTTTGTGCATTGCCCTGCAAAGGAGTCTTTGAATCCTGACTGTGCACTTACTGAATGTCATGATTGGGAGCAAGTCACTTCATGAGTTAGGGCCTCAGTGCTCTCCTCTGGAAAATGGGAATCATGATGCATCCCTCAGGGGTAGATGCAAAGACAGATGGTGCCAGGAGACAAGGTTTGTGAAGGTGACTGGCCTGGGTTCACAGTCCTCTGCTTTTTGCCATCCTGAGGATGAGAGCAACAGAGACAGCTGTACCCGGCAGGGCCTGGGCCAGGCAGGACATTGGAAGAAGGACAAGGAGGCAGCATGAGTTCATGGAAGGCATGGGAGGAGGGGCCTGGGAAGAAGCCCCTGGGGAGACCAGGGCCTGGAGAGGGTTGTCTAAGGAGAAACTGCGAGTCACCCAGAGGGAATCCAGAGGCTGAGAAGAAGAAATGGATGTGACCTGAGAACTGGCCTCCCCTGGGTGATACAGGAGTTTTTGGAGAGAAGTTCTGAGGGAGCTGCCTTGGGGTCCCTCTCAGCTGGCACTGCGGGGTCAACTGCTCCTCGGACGGTGCCTGCATGTACGTGTGTGTGTGTGTGTGTGTGTGTGTGTGTGTGTGTGTGTAGTTGAGGGGTAAGGGAAGCTCCTCACAACTCTGGAGGTATTAGGAAACACCCCCTAACCACTTCCAACCCTCACAGGAGCAGAAGCCTCCGGACACCTGCCAACATGTTTATTATCAACCTTGCTGTCAGTGACTTCCTCATGTCCTTCACCCAGGCCCCCATCTTCTTCGCCAGCAGTCTCTATAAGCGGTGGCTCTTTGGGGAGGCAGGTAGACACCTGGGGGCTCCCTTTGGCTGGAGGGAGGGGGAGGGGTTTGGCATGGGGTTGCCCACTGGGCAGGGTGACCCAGAAGAGGCGATTCCATTCCTCCTGGGTAAAGAGTGAGCAGCTGCCCTCAATTCCATGAGTGAGTGAGAAGGGAAGATCAGGTTCTAGTCCGGAGTCCTCTGCCAGCCTCAGTCCGATGTGGATGGTAGACAGGGCAGAGAAGGCTCGGGCCTGGTTTCCTGAGAGGTCAGAGAAGGAGCCAAGTTCATCCCATCCCCAGTGCCTCCCTCCACTTGGGTACCTGATTGAATCCCTCCCCCGAGGACTTAGGGAAGAGGGCTGTGCCCACAGGTTGTGAGTTCTATGCCTTCTGTGGGGCTGTCTTTGGCATCTCCTCTATGATAACCCTGACGGCCATCGCCTTGGACCGCTACCTGGTGATCACACGCCCCCTGGCTACCATTGGGATGGCATCCAAGAAGAGGGCAGCATTTTTCCTGCTGGGTGTCTGGTTCTATGCCCTGGCCTGGAGTCTGCCACCCTTTTTTGGCTGGAGTAAGTGTTCTGGTAGAATTTGGGGAGGGGCAGATAGACTTGGAGAGGGGTTAAAGGGAGGTGGGTAAATTTGGGTCAGTCAACTGACAGGGGGGACCCAGGGACCTCCTGAGCCCCAAGTCAGATGGGCATTCAGGGGCATCAATCACTAGCAGCAGGGGAGACTGAGGGCACTCGGTTAGGGGCCAGAGGATCACCTGGACAGTCTGTCCCCAAATACAGGTGTTCTTGAATGTGTAATACCAAGTTTGCAGTGAGTCAGACTAGGCACGGTCTGGAGTTCGAACCTCAGTGAATAGGAGGGTAAGCAGCAAGGCTCTAGCCCTTGTGAGACAGAGATCAGTGAGCATGACCCTGGGGCTGGAGTGAGGCCTCTGCTGCAGTCTAGCAAAAATGAGCAGCTGTGGGCTTTGCCAGCTGTCCCCTGAGTGGTACCCCTGCCAGAATCACCTTGGGAAGGGCCCTCCACATCCCCCAATTGCCACAGGCTTCCTCACTGCACTGGACAGGGTAGAGGCCCAAATATCACATATGAAGCCCTTGATGGACAAGGAGTCTAGGCAGTGCCACTGAGGAGGCTGAGCACCTGTCCCGCTCACAGGCGCCTATGTGCCTGAGGGGCTGCTGACATCCTGCTCCTGGGACTACATGACCTTCACGCCCTCGGTGCGTGCCTACACCATGCTGCTTGTCTGCTTCGTGTTCTTCCTACCCCTGTTTCTCATCATCTACTGCTACATCTTCATCTTCAGGGCCATCCGGGAGACAGGCCGGTAAGTGACAGCTAACAGAGACCCTGCCCCACCCTCCCGAGCAGTCCCAGCTACGGTATGCTAACGTGTGCTTATTGGGTGTGGGCGCCTAGAAAAAACTCCAGAGACAAGGTTTATGAAGAGGGGGTTTTAGGCATGTCTGAGGGGACAGAGAAGGTTCTACCCCAGGTAGAACCTCAAAAAGGCAGTTGAGAATCAGTGTAATGAGAATTTTCTGGAAGGGATAACCCCCTTCCACGTGCCCCAGGGATGGATCAGGGAAGCTCCTGACAGCCATCATGATTCTGGTACTCACTGCAATTGTAATGGGGTCAGTTCAAGAATACACACCCTTCCCAGGGCCTGTGAGGGCTGTGGCGAGTCCCCACGACGGCGGCGGCAGTGGCAGAGGATGCAGAGTGAGTGGAAGGTGGCCAAGATCGCGCTGCTGGTCATCCTTCTCTTCATAGTCTCCTGGGCCCCCTACTCCATTGTGGCCCTGGTGGCCTTTGCTGGGTGAGCAGGAGCTAAGGGGTTGGGACAGGGGTTGAAGGTGTGGGAAGGGAAAGGGACCCCTGGATGGCCTCTCCCCCCAAGCCCAGCCTGAGCCAGCCATCCTCACACCCTAAGTCCAGCCTCCAAGTCTTATTCTTTTCCCAACCAAGGGACTCTACCCAGCTCCAAGGCATATGCTGGTGGAACTCTGGGCCACCCCCAGATTCAGCCAGAGGGCCTGCCAATCCCCTTGGGAACATGCAGTTCTCCTTGAGCTTCTGGTCTCCTCTATCTGGGCTGTGGGCATCCTACTTGGATCCCTAAGAGGTGCCCTATAGTCCTTTTTAACTAGAGTCTGGGACTTTAGCATCTATAGTAGCATGAGTATAGGCTAGACTTCAGAAACACTTTTGTGACATGGAGAGTTATGAAACCTTGGAAGTGTTCAGCTATGGACCTTTTTGTGTATGGATGGCCTGATCCCTTTGAAGAGCCTACTGTGAGTTTTCTCTAAGAAAGACAGGAGAGCCAGGTGTAAGGGTGCATGCCTCTAATCCCAGTAGCTCAGGAGGCTGAGTCAGGAGAATCGCAAGTTCAAAGCCAGCCTCAGCAACTTAGAGAGACCCTAAGCAACTTAGTGAGACCCTGTCTCAAACTAAAAATTATTTTTTTTTTAAGAAAGGGCTGGGGGGCTGGGGTTGTAGCTCAGTGGTAGAGTGCTTGCTTAGCACACGTGATACCCTAGGTTCGATCCTCAGCACCACATAAAAATAAATAAATAAAAATAAAAATATTGTGTCCATCTACAACTAAAAAAATATTTTAAAAGGAAAAAGAAAGGGCTGGAGATCTGGCTCAGTGTTTAAGTGCCCCTAGGTTCAATCCCCAGAACAAAAAAAAAAAAGGAGGAGCAGGAACAGAAGGAGGAGGAGGAGAGATAGGAGAGCAAGTGGACATCAGGGTGAGGCTGGGGTATGGTAAGAGCTGTGTAGACGGGTCAATGGAGAGCACCAGGAGATATTGTCAGCAGCACAGGCTCTAAGATAGTGGGACTTGGTGAATCATCCCCAGCTAACCCTGGCATATATTTCTCCCAGAGACCCATCCTCAACCATCTCTACTAGCTTCCCCCCTGTCCACTTTAGTCCAGAATTCTCCCTGATACAGGGCTGACCCAGCTGTATTGGTTTGGGGTGGGCTGGGGTTTGGGCCTTGGCAAGATCTGACTCAGAGGAAGAAGATTGATGGGGGAAAACCAACTGGGGAGAAGGATGGAGGGCCACATATCTTCTCTGTCCTAGGTATGCACATCTCCTGACTCCCTACATGAGCTCAGTGCCGGCTGTTATCGCCAAGGCCTCTGCCATCCACAACCCCATCATTTATGCTATCATCCACCCCAAGTACAGGTATGGCCCATCTCCAGGCCTCCAGGGCCCCACCTATGGGCATGGAAGGCCTGGGCCTGCAGATGCAGCAGAAGTCTGTCATCTGTCTTGTCTCTTGTATGTACTTTGGGTGGGGGGCATGAGCTGCCAGGAGCAGACAACAACAGTGGGTGGGGTCTGGAGTTGGTATGACCCTCTCCTATCTCAGTTTCCAAGAGGGCTGTTTGGAGGAATATCAAGTCTTCTTGGGCAGTGTCCAATCCTAATTAGGGGGTTGAGCTTACCTCATTGGAGCTGGGTCATAAGGCATCTAGGATGGCAACTCAACATTGCTGTCCCTATTAAGACAAGACCCCAGACACAAGTGCCTGAAGAGAAGCCAGCAGGGAGCACTTGGCTTCACCTCAAGGGCCCTGGCAGGGTCTTTGGGGTGGTTGTGGCCAGTGCATGCTCTGCTATGAGCAATGAGGCACTTTTTCTATGGGACTTTCAGTGTTTCTTTTAGCCTGGAAGTTTCTATCACACAGCTCCCTCTGAAAAAGTGAACTGCAAGACCCAACTGGTCTATCCTAAGCACTCAGGAGTGTCCCTGATCCCCACTCTCAGAGATATGGCTTAAGCCAGCCACATGTGGGCTGGAACCAACATTCACCTGAATGAATCTGCTACTCTAAGACTCTCTTTCCACACCTACCACCCCAGGGTCTATCTATCCATCCCACCATTCTGTAAGCCCACCGGTCTCCTTCTCCCAGCCTCTGTCTGCCTCATCATTCAGCTTCTGTCTGTCCATCTTCATTGCCTCCCATGACTCCCAGTGACTGCCTATCTGTTCCCATCACCCAGCATCTGTTTATCCACCAACCTTAGCCATGTTTCAGTCTGTCTGTCCTTCCCTTACCTCTTGTGTCCCTAACCAGATGTGTGACCCTGCAGGATGGCCATCTCCCAGAACCTGCCCTTCCTGAAGAAGCTGCTAGGTGTGTCCAGCCAGCATGGCCGCCCATCCCTCAGCTACCGCTCTACCCACCGCTCCACTCTGATCAGCCATGCCTCCGAAGTCAGCTGGATCTCTGGACGGAGGCGCCAGGAGTCCCTGGGCTCTGAGAGTGAGGTGGTAAGGATGCTGAACACTAGCTGGCTGGCACCTCACCACCCCTTCCTCTACCAGCCCTAAGGCTCTGGGAAGGCCACATGCCCTGGAAGAACTGCCACTGAGACTGAGAGACCTCCAGTACATCATCTTCCAAGATAGGCAGGGTCACTGGGGCCAGAGAAGGGATGAGCAGCAAGTCTAGTCTGAACACTGGTTTTCCAACTCCAAGAGGTCTCTTTTTCCATGCTGTCAAGACTGAAAAGATTAGTATTTGGGGCTCTAAATAGGCATCTAGAGACAAAGCCAGCTTAGGGGCCTCATTCCTCAGCATTAAGTCCCCTCACCCTGGGCACCTTGAAGAGCCACAGGAAAGGGAAGGAGGAGCGTTGGCCATGGAGTCAGAGAACTGACCTGGAGATTGAGCTTACCTCATCCTCACAATGTGAGCCTGGGCCGGTTCCTCACCCCTATGAGCCTCTGCATCCTCCCTGGAAAGGGTGAATAGTCTTTCTATTCACAGTGACTAGAAGATTGTGGTGTGCCCATATCTGGGTGCTGATTTGACGGTTAATGTTGGTCTTTGGAGCCTCCAGCCCATCAGCCCTCCCCAGGGCCTGGATCTTTGGGATCCCTAAATGTTGCCAGGAGAGCTCCCCAAGGCTCTAGCCAAGTTCCTCCATCCTTCTGTCTCCAGGGCCCACTGTGGCTCTCACCAAGAACTGCCGTGGACAGACTAGATGGACAGTGATCTCCCTCCACTGTTCCATCTTTGAGGGTCTCTATTAAGGAGATGAGGGAAGAGTTGTCAGGGTCCCTTCCCTGAACCACTGTAGTGAAGAATCAATAAGTCTAATTTATTAACAGAGGCCTAGACCCTCATGAAGACCACCCATCCACCCCAAAATCTGAACACCAACATGCTTGGGAAGGTGTGTGTGTGTAAGTGCGTGCCAGCACACGCCCACACTTAGCACAGGCACACGTCGTTTGCTATCAATATGTGTGGATATGTTTGAATATGTGTGGGGAAGGTCAAGAAGGACCTGAGAGGAACAGGGGAGGGACAAGATGCAGAGTGTCCTTCTCACCTCACAGTTGCTCTCCCACTTCCCCCAGGGCTGGACAGACACGGAGGCAGCAGCTGCATGGGGGGCTGCCCAGCAAATGAATGGATGGTCCCTCTGTGGTCAGATCCTGGAGGATGAGGAAGCCACAGCCCCTTCCAGGTCCCAAGGACAGGAAGCTGAGACTTTCAGGAAGGTGATTGGGTATAGTACCTGCCAATCTGTAAAGATGTGGGAAGTAGGGGCAAGTAGCTCAGGGAATGGCCTGGAAGGGGGACTTGTTCTTGTGGGCAGGGCCAATGCCCTGTGGGAATCACCCACCCCTACCCCATACACCCCAGTTTTCCCCTTGCCTGCTAGGGGGTCTCTGTGACTCTAGGACTTCCTGAGCAGGGTCTATATGGTCTGTGACTATTCTTGGGTGCGTCTGGGTAACTATCTATGTACACATTTAGCAGGCGGTGCTGTTGGCTATGTAGTGCCATGACAGACATATGCACACGTGTATATAAATGCATATATCCATGAAGGTATGTGGTCTGTAGCCGGCAGAGCACAACTTGTGCATATGTGTGACCATGTGCCCAGCATATGCTTTCTGTCACTGTGACACCTCAGGACACACAACTGAACATGTCCCCATGTGTCTTCTGTGTTTGCGTGTGACTGAGTGTGGATGGTATGCATCTCTCTATGTGATTTCAAGACTGGACATACCTGGGGGGAGAGGCCACAAGCTGTGTATGTGCTCACCACAAACGCCCTGAGATCAGGATGTCACCCAGAATACTTGTGGCTATTAAAAGAAGGCCAGCTGTCAGCCCAAGTGCCTATGGAACGGAATGTCGATGGCGATTAGAGAAGGCCATATTCTGGAATGTTGGAAATTCCGTTTGCACAGGCGCCCTGGGCAGCCCCTCCTCCCTCAGCTGACAGCTCCCTGCCCTGCCCTTCTCTCACCCCCTTCTCTCAACACACCAGTTGACTCCTGGGCACTCTCGGGCTTCCCTAGTCAGTCCAAGACCTCAGATGCATTCCTGCCTGCCTTTCTCATGTGGCTTCTCTGTGTGATTATGAGAGCGGAGCCCAGGGCTACTCTCTGCAGTTGGGGAGCCCCTGTTTTTCCCAGCACTCTCCTGAGAAGAACCCCACCCTGTCTTAGAGCTCAAGCACTGTGTATAACCATGGAGACCAGAACAAAAGCCTGGCAGTGACCCCCAGGCTGGCCGGGCAGTAATGAAAGACACAGTTCCCATCCTGGGTGGAGACTGGGCTGGGCTGGGGCGCTGGGCACGGAGAGCTGGCCATCAGCAGTCACCAAACACGCGTGATAAGTGCTGCCATGGAATTATGAGCACGCAGTGTGTTGAGAGCAGAGGCAGGTCCCTGAGGCTCCCCAGGGAAGGTGAAGGTGAAGTAGGGATCTCCAGCCTGGGGGTAGGGAGGGAGCTCTGTGCCATCCTGGTCAAGGAAACAGCCTTGACCTCCTGTGTGAAGGCAGGAGGATGCATGGGAGGGATTCAGTGTGTCTTGGGAAAGGATAGTTCTTTGTGACCCTAGCACCAGCCAGAGAGACCCTGCAGATGGCAGAGGGGATGTAGCAGAAGGGAAAAGTGGCAGGAAATGGTAGGAATAGAGGTCTGTGGGGTCCCTAAATCTGCCCCTAGGAGACAAGAAACCCAGCGAGGGGCGTGGTCACTTTGCAGGGTAGCCAGGACCCTCCACAAAGTCCCGGAAGGGGGGAATTGAGTGGAGTGAGCCTGCAGGGTGAAGCTTCGGAGGAAGCCACAAGGCAGGCAAGCAGGGACTCCGAGCAGCAGGGGTGACAGGAGCTGCCAGAGCCCACACACATGCAGGAGGAGTGCTCAGAAGGGAGAAATTGAAGGGTGAGAGTGGGCAGGAACCCAGTCCAGACCCCAGGAGCCTGAGCCTGGAGGGTATCCTGCAGACAGCCTTAGACTTTTCTGCTCTTTCTCTGAGATGTGGTCCTTGAGAAGGCCCAACCCCAAACTGGAAAGCAACCTGGTCCTTCCACTCAACCTCCTGCACCTCTCAGTGACACAGAGGATCATTGGGAGACTGTTCCCCTTAGGAGGCTTCTCGGGCTAAACGGATGTTTGCTGTTTGTTTTCAGACCAAGGGGCAGCTCCCCAGCCTGTGCTCCAGGATGTAGGACGCCCATTGGTTCTCTCTTTCTTCTGGGACGTGTCTGGCCCTGTCACACCCCCTCACACACACAGACCCAGGATTACGCCTGGAGCCTGCAGGCTTTCAAAATGGCCCTGTCGCCTGTGCTGTACTGGATTCACAGTCCCAGCCCCACATCCTCTCCCCACACCACAAAACTACTGCCTTGCAATGTGGTCTACACCCGCTTCTCAGCTCAGCAGCCACACCCGGGCTCAGTCTGAAGAATGTATACACAGACCTTCTTCCTTCCGGCAGTCATCCTCCTCTCCTGAAATGCTGTGTGCTGTGATTGTCCAGGCCGTGACAATGGTGATGGCTCCGGAGAACACACCAGCTATTTATGAGCCAAGCATCTTGGCCAGTCTGTGCATCCAGGCTGGGCATTTCACTGGTCCCGGGAAGCCAGAGCATCTCCCATTGCCAGTGGCTGAAGCTAAACACAGACCTTACTTTGTGCACTGAAAATGCTCCCTCACCTCCTGCTTCTCCCTCCCCCAGCACAAGGCTCCCTGCAGCCCACACTCCCCTCCCCTACTCACAGGCACCAATGGGCACCTCTCCCATAGGTACCTATTTGCATGCGCACCAAGCACATTTGTCCACACCCTGCCCCTATGGTTTGTTTCATATCAGTGCTTTAATTTCATCCCAGGGCAGTGTGATTCTGACAGGGTAAAAGAAAATAAAAAAGCAGAGAAGATCTTGTCTGACAAATATGGTGTCTCCCTACTGGTCTGTGATGGGAGAGAGAGCTGGGACCTGACCTTGAAGGGCCCAGCAGCTTCCTTCCTCCCCTCTCCCATCCCCCACTTCCACTCCTGAAAGCTCATCTCAGGCAGGGGGGGCAGAGTAGAGGAGGGACAAAGACCAGACATGGCCCATCCCCACTCCCCAATGAGCTACTGAGCTCCGCCTAGCCTGTGGGTACCAGCTGCTCTCCAGCTGGCTTTGGGTCTCCCAGGGGAGGCAGATGGAGGGAGGTTGGCCTTCCCCTTTAAGAGCATCCTCCCACTACCCTCCCTTCCCTCAGAGGCCGAGGCCAGCATCAGAGTCCAGAGAAAGAGCCTGCAGCTCCAGGTACAGCTTTGCCCAACCCCATACAGGGTCAGCTCTTTCCTTTCCCCATGTGGTTATGCCCTGCTGCTAGGTCCTCTCCAGCCTCGTAGGATGGATACCCCTAAGAAAGGGACAAAGCTGGAGTTAGGAATGGATGGCATGGGGCCTGGGGGGTAGGGAATGATATGAAAGAAGCATTGGGGGCTGATCTTCTGGGCCAGGACAGGCAAGACTGCAGGATACAGGGCAGAGACGGTAGTAAAGTGGGGGTAAAGAACACAGGTCCCTTCCTAGCTTCTTCCATTTGCTATTTTTGTGACCTTGGGCAAATTGTCCTGTATCATGGGCATTCCTCCCGTGCACTTTGTGTCTGCCAGGCCTGGGACGTGAGGCTGGGGTGTTGGCAGCATGGAAATTGCTCACACCCTGGCTGCAAAGTCCTCAGAGCAAGCCCAAGTTAGAGCTCCGAGAGGGCCAGGAACCAACCAACCTGATCGTCTTCCCCGAGCCTCAGTTTCCCCAGCCGGGGAACCAGGGGGAGGTTTGATCTATCTCCAGACCGCATGGGGCCTGAATTCTCTCTTGGGGCAGGGCTTCTAGGAGTATCTTGACCCAAAGACCACACTGGCAGGAGTCCTGAGGGGCCAAGGCCCCCATCCAGAACACAGTGTCTCTAGAGTATGGGCTGAACATGCCATACATGCTTCCCCTCCCTGCCCATTCTGGCCTGTGTCCTAGCAGCTGAGCAAATGGCATCTCTTTCCCTCCTCCCTGCCCCCTGCCATTCCTGCGTAAAGGGCACGGGGCCTGGCGTGCAATGCTGGCAGCTGGACCTTTCCATGCTACTGTCAAGTTTTCCAGGGCACAAATGAGACAGGAGAGCCAGGAATAACCAGCTGAGCCCCCAGAGGGTCTGGAGCCGGTGGGCCTGACCCAGATCTGCCTTCAGATCCTCTGCCAACATGGGGTGGGCAGGGCCCCAGGTTCCTGGGCCAGGGCTTTGGGGAGGTGCCTGCAGCCACTAGAAGCTCATTATCTGGCATGAATGCCTTTAGAATTAGCCCAGGCTCCACTGTGGCCCAGGTCCATTCTTTATGTGACCTTGGAGAAGTCATTTAACTTCTCAGAGCCTTGGCTCCTACAGGCTAAAGTGGCAGCCTCTTAGGATCCTAGGGATAATAGTGTAAAGAGCCCTGTGCTGAGTTTGGCCATGCCCAGAGGTTCTGCTATTACAAGATCATTTTTATGGCTGGCTAGTCCCAGGGCCCAATCACTGGTCTTCTGAATTGAAACTTTTTCCAGACCAGCTAGACAGTGAGTTCAATTCTAGGCACACAGGACCCATACTGGATAAGGCAGTATGTCAGAGTCCTCACCAGGGATCACAGAGCATCAGAACTCCTGCCTGAGGGAGATCGGCCCAAGCCTCCTGGGCCGGGGATGGATCCAGTGAACAGAGAGAGGGACTTGGGCTCTTCATAGGGCAAAGGGGAGAAAGGAGGCAAGAACATTGTCATCAACCTGTCCAGTCCTCTCTTCCTGATCCCTGGTCAGGGGGGGTCTGGGTGCTGGACACCCCTCCCCAGGGGCTATATTAGCTGCGTGAGTCACAGTGGACCTGGCTGGGAGGCCACAGGCGGGCGGGCACAGTGTAGGGTTACAGTCCATTTATGGGCGCAGCAAGGGCAGATATCAGTGTCGATGGCATTCGCTCCCAGCTATTCTTAGGAGCCTCCCAGGAGCTCTGCACAGCCTGTCTAGGCAGCAAGGGGCAGAGCAGGCAAGGCTGGGGACTGGGGGGTCGGGCAGGGCAGAGGCAGAGGTGTGGGATGGGGAGGTGGGGTGCATGAGTTTCCCCTCAGTTAATACTTTTTACCCTTTGCAGAGGCAGCCACTATCAGCACCAGCATGTCTTACAGTGTGACTCTGACCGGGCCTGGGCCCTGGGGCTTTCGTCTGCAGGGAGGCAAGGACTTCAACATGCCCCTCACTATCTCCAGGGTGAGTGCACACTGCTCATGGCCTGGCACCCAAAGGGGCAAGGCACACTCAGAAGAGGGCACGTATGTACATCTGTCTGTCTGTCCTCCCCAGGCTCTTGGAAAACAGAGCATACCCTATCCCCTGTCTGAGGGTTCCGACAGAACTGATCTCCTAGTCTTGGCCACCAGTGGTGTTTGCCCACCTGAGCCTGTCCCTGAGAATTTGCCCACTAGAGTGTGACATCATGGGCAGGTGTTGGGTGTTTTGAGCAGAGAAGGAAATGCTGAGTTTGCAGGGTGGGCGGGCAGGTGGACAGAGTGTACAGCGCCTTCTCTGGCAGGGCAGGCTCTGGGTGCCCCCAAGTCTAAAGTCCCTCCCTAAAGTCCCAAAGTTTGTAGATGCTTTGGGAAAGAGCATGTAATGGGTGGGTGGATGGACGGATAGACAGACTGCTGCCCCTGCTGCCCTGCTGTTGTGATGTGGAGGCAGGCTTGTTACTGAGTTCCAGCACCAATTCCATTTGAGTCCCTCTTCTCCTGCTACCATGGGCCAGTCAGGGACCCTGCACCAGCTGGCTCATGGCTCTAGACCTTCATCCCTCACTGGTCCAGGGCTTTCCTGATCCTCCTGCCTGTCTAGTGTCTCCCCCGGCCCCAGATTTACCTGGAGAGACAAATCTGCAGTGTCTGGTAGGCATAGGACAGAACATTGTGGGTTGGGAGGTCCACCACTCTCTTCCAGCTGGAGACACTGAAGCCCAGAGAGGCTAAAACTAGACATATTTGAGAAGAAGGGAGAAGGAAGGACTTTGTTTTAACTGCTACTATGGTCCCACATCTACACTACTATCTGGGACAGAATAGGTTCCCAGGCAATCTTTGTCAGGTAAAGGCACTCCCCAGCAATTCCTGGAAGAGCCAGGGTTGAAAGCCCCAGAGCTCAGGAGGAACAGTGAGGCATGTAAGGGGGCAAAGACAACCCCTGCCTGGTGGGTGGTTGAAACCCTGGCATGAAGGGGCCAGCTGAGGCCCTCCAGGGTGTCATGGGAACATGGTGGGTGGCCAGGTATATCTGGGCTGCTACTAACCTGGGGGAAAAGGATGTGGTTTCTTCCCCCAGGGCAGCAGACTTATCTTGGGCCTAGGAACAGCACTGCAGTAGGTAGTCGGGAAGACCCGAAGTTACTCTGGTAAGGGGCAAAAGTGCAGGGGTCAGTGCCCCCTGGAAGAGTAGTCTTGATTTGAGAGCATGGCATGGGCACTGTGGGGACCCTACAAAGGAGAAGCTCCACCCAGGGTAACCTTGGGAGCCTTGGATCTGCACTCCTCAGATGCTGGTCTTGCCCTCTACTCTTCCGCTGGAGATCTGGGTCTCTGCCCCTTTGGGCCTACTATCCTGAAGACCAGAAAGTCTCAGACTGAAAAGACACTCAGAGCCTTGCACACCTATCTCAGTGATGTGCTGCCTGAGCCCAGTGGCTAGCCCACCTTAGTCTCTGCACAGTTCACAAACCCCATAGCTTCCCATCTCCTCCCTGTATATCCTCTCATTATCATGAGCCTTCCAACCTCCCCATGCCTGGAACTGAGCCCAAGTCTCTCCCAGTGCCACTACCCTAAAGGCTTGCTGCTGGTTCTCCCTGCCCCATCCTGTGGGTGCATGTTAGCCCCTAGGCTCAGTGGACCCAGGATAGCCAATGACCTCACCTAGGACCTATGCACCACCTGGCTCCAGATGGCCAGGGGCTTAAATGGCAACACAGAGACCTTAAGCTAGACAGCAAGAGGAATGTCCTCACTCGGGGAGGGGGTGTGTTGGGATGTGCGGGAGCCAATGACTGGGGGGACTTTTAAAAATAGAACCCATACAGGACATTGGGGGTTAGGCATGACAGTTTCCTTCTGAGACACACCCCAAATCATCTGGGCCATGGAGCAGGGTAGGCTGGACACTGGAGTCCTCCCCAAGACAGGAAGTCCCTTGGAAAATGCCACTGGTGGGCTGAGGACACCTTGGCCTCAGATATCGCAGGTTCAGTGCTCCTGGCCAGATAGATTCTCTGCACACTAGGGCTGTGAAATTTCCTGCTGGGGTTCACAAGGCCCTTCTGCACCAGGAGCAGCCCCCTCAAAGAGATGCAGTGCCAAAACTCTGGAGGACCCCCACTCCCACCCTAGCCATCATCTGCTTCTCACGACTGGCCAGTGGACACTGCTCATAGTCTTGATCTGAGCTTTTGCCGCAGGGCACCACTGGCAGTCCTGGGGTGGGGAGAGCTGGCCATGTAGAGCATACTCATTCTCAATAGGGCCCTGCACCCTCAGGGTAC